GGCCTGGACTGCATACATGTGCTTACCATGGCTGCCTGGCCTGGACTAAACGCGTGTGCGTAGACGTACCTAGCTGAGAAGAGGAAGCATCTTCTATATCCCCAGCCGAGGGGCTGAGGTTTCTGTCCTTACTGCCTCCACAAGAGTATATTCTTCTCCTTCCTGTGCTATCTTAGTTACCGCACTGTAAGTGTGGAAATCAGTTAGTTAGAAAACGGAATTTTCACATTCTCTTACACAGTTACATTCTTCCTTCAAAGATAAGAAAATTGCATCAACCTTTGCGGGGCTCCCATGGTAACTTGTTAAATTAGGTCTCGATGTGGGGGCGGATAACACGGCTTGAAAGCCTGCCTGTTAGCTGAGTGAAGAATACATCAAATGCAATGTCGGCTTCCGCTGAGATGTTCCTCCTTACCTTACTGTTTACAGTTATCAGACTGAAATCACAAAGCTCCGTTTTCTCTTGTTCATAGATGCATTCTCAATCCCTTCTAATTACAACACAGAGAGCCCCCAGCCCACCGCTTCCTGTATTCCTTAGAGACCTTAGAAAAATGCTGTGCACTCAGTGTGTGCTTACATGCTGAGATAATTAGGTTGTTACGACTATGGGTCCTTTCCTCCTGTGTCTAGCACAATGTGTAACATTCATTTATTCAATTAATTGATTTGGGTATAGGGATAGGATAATATACTGGATTATTAAATAGTAGTCTGCTTTCCTTCCTGTCCTTCTAGACCCATTTTAGAGATGGTGAAACTGAGCACAAAGAACATGCTCTATCCGTGTTCAGGTAGTTTCGTTCTGCAAGCAGGTAGCTCCTTAATGAATTGTAAGTGCTGCATGCTTCGCTTGAAGACACCATCATGTTAAGGAATTCCTTCATGTTAAGGAATGGGAAGACTCTTTGAGTGTCTCTGTGTCCTTCACAGAGAAATTAAGACCCAGGTGGCCTCTTGTCACTATTAACCCTTCATACATGTGACTGAGGGGAAGGGGTAAGGGGTAAGGGTAAGATGTGGTTTTAGGCTTCAGTACAGAGTTCATGGCCTGTGAATCACCATTATTGAACTTTATTCTACCTTCCTAGTCACAGATATCAATAAAGGCCTATTCATAATTCTACTGCAGGTGAACTACTGGTAATCCATGTCTGGGTATGTCATCACCCACTAAGCTGTAATTATGAAGAAAGAAAGTTTCTTTTTCACCCAGAAACTGGAAAAAGACTCTATACCTAAAGTCATGCATTGATGATCATTTAAAAAGAATGTTTTATATTCCTGTCTGTCTGTCTATCTATCTATCTATCTATCTATCTATCTATCTATCTATCTCTGAATTTCTGAGGTGTGTGTGTGTCTAAAAGGAATCAGACTTAGAGGAAAAAGCAGCCCTAGATGTCCCACTGTGGGTTCTCTTAAATTACCTTTGGTCAGAATGAATGCTATTCTGTCTATTTCGCAGATGAGAAGAGAGTCAGTCTAAAGTCACACAAATCCCCAGGTCAAACCCACAATCCCTGAGGTCTGATTGTAGTTGAGTTTTAGGGTACAGTAACCTAAAGGTACTGATAAGACACATTTGAGAAAATAAACAACTTGGCTACGAAAGGAAGGTCTGCCAAGCCCCTCAGTTCAGGACATGGCCTGTGATTTTGGCATTACCAAAATTTCTGAAGAATTTCTTCAGTTTCTGAAGAAAACTGAGTTGCAAACTAATCTGCACATACTAGGGCACAAAATGGTGACAGTGTTGGGAAGCTCTCAGTGGGCTCAAGCTAGCAATAAGGAAGAGGGAGACAGGTTGCTAAGTTTGTAATATAGTGTGCATCTGTGTAGATTTCCAGTATTCCAAACATAGGTTAGGAAAGGTGGAGCTTTCTACCATGTTACCCCAAACTAGGCTCTTAGTGTAATCTCTCCATGCAAACACTGCTGGCACAGGACAATGAGAAGATGCTAGCATTGAGCCAAGCCAACTTGTCTGAATGGGGAGGGACCCTGGTTGCAAACACTGAGCATTGGCCACATTTCCAGAAGCCAGAGATACTAGGTAATGAGTTATCTGAGCTCCTTTGGTCTGGCAAGGCTGGAGCTAACTCATAGGCGTGTTAAAGGCAGTACAGTGTGAGTGTGGAGTGTCCCTGGACAGTGTCTCCATAGGGAAGAAGGAAGCTAGGAACGA